GCAAGGAAACCGCCAATAGAATGAAGAAACAACCCACCTGGTGGGAAAGAATTTTCCCCACTGTTCCTCAGAGAAAGGACTAATATCTAGAATATATAAGGAATTCAAAAAACATCAGGTCCCCCAAATTTAAAGACCTAGCTCAAAAATGGGCATCTGAAATGAATATACACTTCTCAGATGAAAAACCAAAAATGGCATCTCTCCCTGTGAAGAATGGCTATTATCAAGAACTCAACCAATATCAATGCTAATGAGGCTATGGGGGAAAATGAACACTTCTCCACTGTTGGTGGTAGTTTAGAATGGTGCAACCACTGTAGAAATCAGTGTGGAGATTTCTCAAAAAACTAGGATTAGTGCTTCCATTCGACGCAGATATCCCCCTTCTTGGTATCTTCATAAAAGAATTAAAAGCATCATACCACAACAAAATATGCACACTCGTGTTTATAGTGGCACAGCCAAAATGTCCATCAGCTGGTGAATGGATAAAAAAGATGTTGTTTTCTTCTACAATAGAGTACTCTGCCATAAAGTGGGAGAGGCTTGAGACATTTCTAGATAAACGGATGGACCTTTCTAGATAAATGGATGGACCATACTCTTAAAATAAATCAGACACACATGTGTAAATAACACATTGTTTTTCCAGTGTGAGAAACTGAAAGTGTAAATAAGGACCAAAATGTATAATACGTATTGTGAAATAGGAAGAAAATGTTCAAATGGGGAGGGGAATAACCAGATGGGGAGGGGGACAGGAAAGAGGGGAAAAGTAAAACAAAAGTGAGAAAAGAAGGAAAAAATGGAAACAAAGCTTTTGTAAATGGGGATGGGAAGAGGGGTTGGAAGGAGGATAGGGGAATGGTGGGAAACAAGTTATATCATGTATAGGTACAAATTCTCTGTGATGAATGTCATCATTATATATACCTAAAATGTACCAATAAAATCTGATCCAAAAAAGTCTATTTGACTTATATTTCTTCTCCCTGCCAGTTAGGAAGGCAGAAATACAATGTTACAAATAGCCAACAAGCAATTTGTGTTATCACTATGACATACAATTTATATGTTGATTTGGCATGCACACTGCAGAGATTTTTGTCTGTAAGAACTATTTCCTCACAACTGCGCTATGATACACTGAGGCCTAAAGAAAAAAGATACAATGATGTGCTAGACGATCTATACAAAGTTATCTTGCCTTATCCTCTAAAAAAGAACTTATCAGAGCCTGAATATTCTCTTTAATGGCAAACAATTGGTTAGTTGCTTTCATTAATATAAAATGAGGCCCTTTGAGAAAAAAAGAAATCAGCGGATCACTTAATCTAAGAAGCAATTTCAACAAAAATAGTTACTATATATTTCATTACGGTCAATCAGCATATTTTCCTTTTTGTTCAATTTCTTCTAAGTTTAAATAAAGACTTTATGAACAGAAAAAAAGTCACTGTTTAGTTTGTCTATAACTCTACAGAGTGGAAAAATTTGGTTTTAGAAAAGCCTTATAAAAATGCAAAACCAGCCAGGTACGGTGGCGCTCGCCTGTAATCCCAGTACTTAGGAGGCTGAGGCAAAATTATCACTGTGAGTTCGAGGCCAGCCTTGGCTACATAGTGAGTTGAAGGTCAGCCTGAACCTCAAAGTGAGACTCTGTTTCAAAAATAAAAATAAAATTAAAAAAATGCAAAACCACTCTTCATGACCAAGTACTGTAATGTGGCAACTGGTAATTCTCACTTTCACTCCATTCCAAACACCTCAACAGGACTTTTACTTTCCACTTCATTCTTTTTTTTGTTAAGCTTAATTTTTAAAAACAAGTGGATATATGCACTTTAATGTACTTATTGATGTGTAATTGACATACAATAAACTGCACTACACATATTTTCATAAACAGAAAAAATTTAAGTGTGTTAGAACTAGTTATGCCTCTAAAAAGTCATTTTTCTAGCTCCCAAGTTTATTATGAAAGAATTTTAAATGTGTCATATCATTGGGATGAACTAAGAGAAGTTTAACTGATGCTTTCCCCTGTAGATTGTGACGTAATACTGTGTCAAATACAAGCATATCCCCTCTGCAGTCCTAATGTATACTCTTGTTTGGAAGCACTGACCTTGAAAAAGTTAACACTACATTCGTATCTATCCCTAGATAGATTTTCAAACATACCGTCAGTGCTCATTCAATAGCCAGAGACACATGTAAATTTAAGAGACTAAATTAATTTTTAAATTAGTTCTTTATTTTAACAGTACCCTTTATATTGGTCATGCATCATTAATTAGAACAGCATGCTCTCTTGAACCTTTGGGTGAAATTGGAATTTCTCTTCCAACTTTTAAACTACTAACAGCTTTGGCACAGTCAGCAATTTAATAAAATGTTATGAAAATCTATGACAGAAATATACTTCTTTGACACTCAAACATTTGTTGATAGACAAGTAGAAATAAAAGGTAATATCATCAATGGCAGAGCTCTAGTAACAGAATGATTTAGCAAAGTCTATTAATTCAACAAAAGCACATTTCCCCTACTCCCGCAATTAAAGCTGTAAAACCTGGTGACAAACTAATAGATTAGAATTATTAACAAGAAAATCATTTTTTTTTTTCTGAAATTCCTACATCACACTTAGTGTTACAGGCCTATTCGAAGTAACCTTAAAGAAGTTTTTATTTCATTCCTTAACATAAAAAACTGTTTAGCACCTCTTATGCCAATAACAGTGAATAGCTGAATCTAAATCTTATTGTACTTTTTATTACTTTTAATGTTAAATGAGCAGGTAAATATATTCACAAATACTTAAATATACATTTTTGTGTTACATATTAATACATAGAGGGCTTTTTATTGGCCAAAGTTTAAGGATATTTACATTAAAATAATAAAACTTACAAATGACTGGATGTGAGCCAAAACAAGGTCATGGACTCTGAATTAACTGAATGATAGCTCTTACTTTCAAATGATCTTCATTTCACTGCCAAAAGCTGGAAGAAAACTGAGGTAAAGAGAAAATACAACTTTTTTTTTTTGGTTTTTCTCCGGTACTGGGAACCGAACTCACAACCTTGCACTTGCTAGGCAGGCGCTTTTGCCACTGAGCTAAATCCCTAGCCCCAAGAAAATACAACTTTAAAACCAGATTACTGAGCTGGGTGTGGTGGCACAGACCTACAATCCCAGCACTTGGCAGGAGCACCTTGAGTTTGCGCCCAGCCTAGGCTGCAAAGTGAGTTCAGACAAAACAAAACAAAAACACAGAAATAAAAACTGGATTATTGAGAAATAAATTAACTTTACATTGGATAGTACAGACTAAAAAGAAAAGCAAAAAATGATAAAAGGAAATCTACATCAGCAAAGAGATAATTGATGTTGATATTTTTCCAGGTATTTACATTGTTTTGGGGTTCCGTGTATTCCCTGATAAACATCTCTATCTGTGGCTCTGACCATATGCAATTTCTCCAAAATTTTCCAGTTTACTAAAGCTGTTAGCATATTCAGCACCTGAATCAAATGTTTAAAAAAATCTGTGACAGAAATAACACTTCTTTGGCATTAAAACATTTGCAACCAGACAAGAAGAAATTTTAAAAAGTATTGTCAAAGGCAAAGCTTTACTACTTAACTGTATTTTTTGGCAGGGTCCTACTGAACATTGAAACCAGTTGTGTAATCAGACCTGTTACTCCCTGGGCAGTAATGGTGTGTAGTAAAGCAGGAGAGGCCTCCTGGTGGCGATTCATTTGGTGCAGATTCAGGGGGATCTGCTCAAGCCTCAATGTTTCAGGAAAACTGAGGAGACCTTAGACACCCTCATGGTGCAGATCAATGCCAGAGTTCCCCACATTAGGATTTCCCCCTTTTGTAATGGCCAAAGAGGTAGATTGTGAACAGCTGGCATGGGAAGGAGCCCGACACCATCACTGGCTGAGGAAGGTCAAGGGAATTTACTCAAGGCCCAGATAGTCTCGCAAATTCGTCTTTCCAAGGTGGCTACAGCTAAATCTGCTTATCTAGCTCAGAACCTGAAGGAGGTTGGGGTGCATACGGTGTGACCAGGATGAAGGCTGACAAACCCCGCAGCCCCGTGACTCCTGGACTATTCACACCAGCTGTATAGATTCCTACTACCTCCTCTAACCTGGGAGCTTATACGTCACCTTTTAATATTGACTGAACTCCTGGGAAGGTGACCATGCCTTGTCTTATACTCCAAGTTTTCTAGAAGGGAAAAATAACTAGTTATACAGGTTATTGCAACAGTATTTACACATATATAGACAGCCGAACTGAATAAATGATCTTGCATCTTCCAACTGAAATGGCTTGTTAGACCAACTAAAGACAACTGGTTTCCACAAAAATGGAATACTGGTATATTATAAACAAACTAGAAAAACTGGACTGACAGATACTGGTTTGTAAATCTCTAATAGATACGCTACAGAGAATGCGTGCATTCTCTGGAGATTTTATGTGTGTGTGAATATATATATATATACACGTTGTTTGCTATTGTGTCTTTCCTTTTTTTCTAATACTTTCTCTTGCACTATATTAGCAGTGACTCAATGAATAGATAAGCAGTGGTTTTATACGACACTTATTTCATGTTTTAGCTAAATCTGAACAATTTAACCGTATGTTACAGAGTAAACTTTCAAAATGATATTTGTTGTGCCTGATGTATAAATACAGAATTATTTAATAGTACTTAAAACCAACAGCCACCACTTTGAAGAGCTCCCACCAGGACAGAACCTAAAGCTGTGAGTCTGCTGGGGTGCCGTTAGGGTTTGCTTTTTCTCCAGACACAGAATGCTTCAGAAACTGACCAGTAGCACCGATGTATAATCTTGAGCGCATGGGCCATTTCTGGAAAAAGAATATTGAAATAAGAACCAAAAGTTAGTATCTATAACATAAATAACATATGTCTGCAATATTAAAAATTCCAAATACCCCAATGAAACTGCAATATCATATAATTAGTAACAATCATAATTATGAATTTTAAGGTGCAGCATGAAAAAGTTTATTCATGCTAACAATAAAAGTAAAAATATATTGACTTTGATTATAATTAAAAACATGTGAATATAAATAAGAACTGCAAGGAGTCATGAGGAATAAATATAGTTGAAGTATAGAAAAATATATGTCCTTACAATGTTTTAACTTCAAACTAAAACACAATTCAATGTAAAACATGGCTGTAAAGAATGACTGCTCCATTATATGTAACATTGGAATGATACAGACAAGATTAGCACAGCCCCTGAGCAGAGACGACATGCAAACTCATGGAGCATTTCATGTTTTTAAGTTCTCGTGTTCTCCCGCACAGGAGGGTGGCCATAGATAATAATACACTTATATTTCAAGAAAGCAGGAAGAAAGGATTTTCAATGTTTTCACCTAAAGACATGATAAATGTTTGAAGAGATAAATAGGCTTACCCTCCTTTGAAACATCTATAATGCACACATGTGTGGAAATATCTCATTGTATCCCATAAATACATAACTTTTATATGTCAGTTAAAAATTAAAAGAGAATGGTAAGTGGGTATGTGATAATATCTGGAAAGTTTCTCTTCTGTGGCATCCAAGACTATTTTAATGTCTCTAGGTGGGATAGGTGAATTTACTGCCATGTAGCTCAGATTATTTAGAGTATTAAATTCATTTTAAACACACATAAAATATAAAATTTATGTTACTTGGAATTTAAAATAGCCTACTCCTAGTCTCTCTATAAATAACTTTGTATGCTATGTTTGATAGGGTAGTAAGACTGACACTGCTATTTTTGCAGATTAATTTCAGGGTCTTTTTTAAAAATCACGAATGGGCATTCTTATGTACGATATTCTGGGTATATCACTGTCTCTGTTCGGGTCCTAGCGCAGGCTACTCAACTGAAGTGTTTTTAGAAACTGGCCTGGGGCTCATCTGCTATGTTAGGACCTTGCATTGTGAGGTCAGATAAAAGTCGTGCATTTTACTAAAGATCCCAGTGCTATGGTATTAGGATCTCAATGTTTACGCTTCCCCAAAATGCATGTCCTGAAGTCCTAAACCCTAAAGCAATTAACTAATTTAGATTAGGTCATTACAGATCAGTGGACTTTTTTGTTGTTGTTGTTTTGTTTCCAGTACCGGGAATTGAACTCATGACCTTGCGCTTGCCAGGCAGGCGCTATGCTGCTGAGCTAAATCCCCAGCCCCAGATCAGTGGACTTTGAAGAGAAAGACAGGTGAGTTGGTCTCTGTCCCTGTCTCCCTCTCATGGTCTCCCTCCTCACTCCTTCCTTAGTGTGCATGCACCAGCAAGGAGATGCCATGTGAGGACATGGCAAAAAGTGGGCCATCTTCGAGCCAGCAAGAGAGCCCTTGCCAGGAACCAAACCTGACAGCACTTTGACCTCAAACTTCCTTAGCCTCCATTCTATGAGAGTATCAATTTATGTTGTGAAGACATCCAGTCTGGTATTTTCTTGTGGCAGCCTGAACAGACTAATACATGTGATAAATAGGGTGGGGCAGAAAATATCCAAGAGCAGGATTTTTTGGCGATGTGATAAGCCAGTGTGTATCAACATTTTACATCCCTGCTTCATTTTTATAAGCATAAGAATTTCTTGCTCAAATCTCAAATGCAATTTGAGAATTATGTGAATGAAATACATACATCCAAAAAATAAATAAAATGAAAATATTACTGGATGCTTCCCTGGTGGTTCTCTTATGCGCTACCCAGGTCCCACTGTGTTGAAAATTGCCCTAAATCATTCAACGAAGTGTGGAGAAAAATGAAGGCATCTGGTCCTTACATCCTTGCTAGAAATAAGTAATTCATGGGCAAACATAAAATGTGTTTGTCAACTTTTGCCTCATTTTCCATACACTTATTAAATAATAAAACTTTCCTTTTAAAGAACTTTGCTTGATTTTCAAAAAGGTCTGTAATGATCTTATCCCACTTAGACACATAAATGGTTTTAAGTGTCAGAAATGAAAATGTAAATAAAATGTTGGTTAGGGTGCATGTCACCAGGATGCTAAAAAAATCAAATGGCTGATTTACACTGTATTTTCAATGGGTTAGCACTGTGTAGAGCAATACAAATACTGAGCTTTCTTTCCTCTACCAAGGTATTATTTAAAACCATGTAGTTTCATTAAACCTAGAAAAATCTAGCAAACTCACAAAGTTAATCTTAACGGAAGACCTTACAAATGCCCCCATGGGAGAGTTAAATAACCCCCCAAAAACCAAAATCCTGCATTTATTTTTAAAATTTTGTTTATTGGTATCATGGACAATGCTTCTTCAGTGGTGTGGCATTTAACAGAGTCATCTGTACTTTTCTCCCAATGTCAAGTTCTGAAATACACTTTCTCACTAGTGCCCTTAAGGGACAAAAATAAGGTTAGGCCATGTCGCAGGAGACCAGTCTCTTAGACAGTTTTTTGGGGGGTGCTGGGGACATAACACTGGCCTCATGAGGGCTAAGTACAAGTTCTGTCAATGAGCAACATCCGCAGCCTCTCATTTGATGCACTCTTCGTGTACATCCTCAACAGTTTTAACATGCTAATAATATCGGCAGTAAGTACTGGTGCTTCAAAATCACAGCACTGTGATATTTGTTAAAAGATCTTTGTTATCAGTGTAGGACTTAGTAAATGAAAATAAAGTCATTTTAGGACACCTACTAATAACTTACAATGAACCTTTTGTTACCCCAAAAAGTAAAAATGATTAGAAAATTTTTATTCCTTTTGCATTCCATTTTGTCAGTGTCTATAAAATAATGTGTTAACAGGAATTTTAATTATGTATGTAAAATATCTTTGCTCTGAACTTTCACTCCTCATAGTTATGACTCTTTGAGGGCAAATGTAACATTTTACCTTACAGTATCCTACTGTTGTCTATACAGTATTTTTACTTTCATCTCTATAATATATTCCTTTAGGGCAGGGACTAAATCTTAAGTCATAATGGTATTCATTGTCCTCAAATAGTGCTCTACACATAGTAGGAACTTAGGTGTTTGTTTTAAAGTACCTTACTGGTCATCATCAATTTCATTTTTAAGAAATGATCTGGCTTTCTATCATCTCCAGAATTATTGTTTGTTTTGTTTTGTGGTACTGGGGGTCGAACCCAGGACGTTCACACTCAGCTAGGTTCACAGCCTTTTTTTTGAGACAGGATCTCTTTGCAAGGTTGCCAAGGCTGGGCTCAAATTTGGGATTCTCTTGCCTCAGCTTCCCACAGTGCTGGGGTAAAGGGAGTGAGAGTCATCTTTAAATATCAGTAATTGATTCAGAGGACAAATGAGATTTAATTTTTCTTAAAATAGTATAACTACAAAAATATTTGGCATATGAATCAATTACAAAAAAGCTTATTAAACTTATTGTTATATTCAAATATTGATGATTCTAACGTTTCTCACTTAAAACATTGAAACTAAGGTGAAAACTTGATTTCTCATTCTGAATTATATCTCACACAAAGGAGGCATGTAGCATACGCTTTTTGTATTAAAATCTACTTAATGGTAGGGGCTGGGGATTTAGCTCAGTGGCACAGCGCCTGCCTGGTAAGCACAAGGTCATGAGTTCAATTCCCAGTACCGAAAAAAAACCCAAACAAAACAAACAAACAAACAAAAAATCTACCAAATGGTATAAAGTTTCTTAGAGTAAAGAAGTCAAAAGAAATCTACATTGGTATATCTGAATAACAGTCTCATGCACACTAATACAAAGCCCTTTAAAATGAGTGATTCTTCAGCTGAAATTACAAAACTCATTTATAGGACGGAGATCTATCATAACTCATGATATTTCGTTCTTTCATATGTAATATTTGAAAGGACTTAAGTTTATCAACATGTAGATTATATTTGCAAAATACTGTAAATCTTTGCCCAACTGTAAGTTCAGTTAACATGACAGTGTGCTTTATCATATTTCAACAGTGATCATCCAGTAATTTATTGGACACTGATAGGCTTAAGCCTAAGTTCTGATTTTGTATTTGTATGTGTTAAAATTTGAAAATTTAGGTTTAGCAAATACAGAGAAGAACACACGTTTTGCAAAGAAGCCAGATCAACGGAAGGTTTCAAAACAATCAAATAAGGAGAAAAGAATGATGCAGAGACTGCCATAACATTGGTAATATAGCATAGCCCTATATACCATATTAAATGACCATTCTAACTATATGTAAAAAATTATGCAACAGGGATTCTTTTTGATAATTTTGTACATTTCAAAATATGAACACAGTGTTTAACCAATTCATTCAACAACATGATTATGAAAATGACATACAACAGTTTTCTAATGTTTTTACTAGCTGTCTAGTCCATGATATTTAACCTTTATTTGGGGGGTTAAAATTTTACTCCTTGCGGATGCAGAATGGTCTCATTTGTTCTTACTATTTTTACCAAAAAATTCTCCATAGTATTTTCTTAGGATTATTTAGGAGCAGATAATTCCATGACTCCGTTTAATTTGTAAAACCTTTCAAACATTCCCTGAAAAATACAATGGAAATGTAATTATGTAAACTAAAAACATTTAAAAACTTTCAGAGGATCATAAATTTAATTCAGATACTACAAATTATAAGGGTGTGCAACCAAGTCCCTCATTTCTCGGCTTAAAATATGCAAAAATCCTTGTGCTGCCAACTTGTGAGCAGCAGGAGAGACCCTACACAAGCCACTCAGGCTTTAACCGCTGCCTCCTCTACCGTGCTTGCAAACAGTTCAGCAGCACTCTAGTGCGTGGGGGGTGTGCCACCAGGTCGCTTTGCTGGTCTGTTCCCCTTCACCGTCCGTAGGGGTGAGAGGTCAGTGGCACCTGCCAGGGAGTGACAGACAGGGTCAAGGTGTCCGGATCTCCGTTCCAGCCCCACAGTGCACCCTGCCTGCCTACCTTGACAGGGTGCAGGTAGCCGTCGCCACGCAAGGTGCCCAGACTGGGGTCCGCCGGCGCCTCGGCGTCGTCCTGCAGGCTGCGGGTAAGATGCGCGATGTAGGTGGTGGCCAGCAGCAGCACGTCCAGCTTGGACAGCTTGGTGTCGGGTGGCACCGACGGCAGCGTGCGCTGCAGCTCCAGGAAGGCGTGCCGCAGAGTCTGCACGCGGCTGCGCTCCCGCGCTGCGTTCGCCGCAGCCGGCCTCCCGCTCCCGGGGCGCGCTGCGAC